ACCTTTTCTATTGTATTTGCATCCACTCCTTGTAGTTGCAACCAGTCTATAAGTTCTCTGTCTGTCCCCAGTTCATCCGGGGGATTCTCCGTACCACCTAGAATGATTCCAGTTTTGTTTTATTGTATAGTAGTGTATAACCACAAACTGCTTCCAAAGTAACAAAGCAGATGTAAAGACATATCCAAATAGAAAGTAAATGTGATGTGAAAAGGAAATGAATTAAACTTTTTTGATTAAAAAAAAAAAAAGCCCATGCCAGGCCCAGTGTCTCTAGTTCTCTCTGCCTGTGGATCAGGCTGCAGGTACCGCTGCAGCCCCATGTGGGCGACCAATCTTCCCACTATGATAATAACGGACTAACCCTCTGACACTGGAAGCCAGCCCCAATTAAATGCTTTCTTTATAAGAGTTGCATTTGGCCATTGTGTTTCTTCACAGCAATAGAACGGTGACTAGGACATAGACATCGATCTTCTGCATCATGTTTAAGTATTCTTACATTGTTTCTAAAATATAAAAAAAACCCAATACTACAACTCTTTTTTTTTCTCTCCTTCTTTTTAGACAAAGTCTCTCTATGTAGTCCTGGCTATCCTGGTGCTGGCTATGCACGCCAGGCTGGCTTTTGCCTCTTGAGTGCTGGTACTCTATAACACTCTTAGCAAACCATTGCCATACTTTGGATAACCTGCCTTATGTGGAGAGATTAGGTTACAGAGCCTCTAGCTGCTCTCTCCTCCAAACTGGGCCACACTCCTTGTAGCCTTTCTCTCAGCACAGCTGCAGAGAGTGGATGTGACCTTGCACCTCTGGTGGAGTCATTTCCTTCCCCCAGACAGCTGCAAACTAAACAGAAAAACGAGGCCTCTGTGGAGTCTAGTGCCCATTTCCCCAATAATTCCCAGGCTCAAAGTGGCCTTGAACTAAAGCCCTAATTCTTATCAGGTGCTTTGCTTGTCTTCATATCTTATGGCATGTATGTTAAGTCACATGGCATGGGATATCTTTTCCCCAACCCTAAACCAACAGGAGGAAGACATTTCCTTTTTTCTTTGGAACTGAAGGCTTTTCCTTCAGTACCTCATCAAGGTTGCCCATGGCTTGATGCTTTTAACTCTCCAAATAAAACTCTTTTAAAGGGTGGTAAATCATCTTGGTTTTCTTTCTTCCAAACCTAAAACATATTTTTCTTTTTCTTTCTTTCTTTCTTTCTTTCTTTCTTTCTTTCTTTCTTTCTTTCTTTCTTTCTTTCTTTCTTTCTTTCTTTCTTTTTTTTTTTTTGAGACAAGGTTTCTCTGTGTAACATCCCTGGTTGTCCTGGAACTTGCTTTGTAAACCAGACTGGCCTTGCACTCACAGAGATCCCCCTGCCTCTGCCTCACAAGTGCTGGGATTAAAAGCATACACCAACCACCTCCTGGCTTTTTTTTTTTTTTTAGTTTTTTCCAGACAGGGTTTCTCTGTGTTGTTTTGGTGACTGTCCTGGACCTTGCTCTGTAGACCAGGCTGGCCTCGAACTCACATAAATCCTCCTGGCTCTGCCTCTTGAGTGCTGGGATTAAAGGCATGTGCCACCACCGCCCAGCCTGGCTTTTTTTAAAATGTTATCTTTTCAATGTTTCATGGTAGCAAAGTACCTTCAACAGTGTTAAGTCAAACTCTAACAAGAGGATCTAGAAAGCTGCTGTACTGCAGAAGTGAGCTGAGAAGACAGGCCACAGTGGACAAGCATCAGTTTTCTCACAGTGACAGATTCGTCTAACACGTGTAGTTTGCATGCGCCTGCCCGACTTTTCAGCCAAGGCAATTTTTTAAAAAGATTATATTTATTTTTATTTTTTCCTGCATGTATGTCTATGTGAGGGTTTCAAATTCCCTGGAACTGAAGTGACAGACATTTGTGAGCTGTCATGTGAGTGCTGGGAATTGAACCCCGGGTCCTCTGGAAGAGCAGCCCATGCTCTTAACCGCTGAGCCCTCTCTCCAACCCCTAAAACATTTTTTAAAATTATTGTCTAACAGAACTGTAGACACAAAATTCCAAGTTCTTTGAGAACATTTTCCATTGTCCGTATCATTGTAACATATGCCTATCTATGAGTTTGTAAATGTTGCTAAACTGAAAAGGTATTGTTGTTGTTTTTTGATATAACATCATTTAAATTGTTTTTTAGGCTTACTATCATTTAATACCTTTAATACCCACTTTTATATTCTCTCTGTGTACAATGAATTTATAAGGTTCATATATTATTAGTTTTAAAAAATATATTCTGTGGGAGTGCAATTTCAATTACATATGAGACTATGGGTTTGACCATTGGCACCATCAAAAATAAGTATATAAATGAAAGAACATCAGTAAAGAAAAACATTTCTCAAAGGACAATTCTAACCATCATAAACTCCCAATGTTTCCCATCATAGATTTTGGAGGCTGGGACTAACCAATGCCATAGTCCACTCTTGTCGCATGGGAACTCCAATGCTGCTTCAGTTGTACAGTTATCTGACCTCACCATCCCTGAGGGGTCAGTGGGAGGGAGAGCATGAAAGGCCATCTCAAAAGTGCAAGTCTTGTTTTGCCTTTGGCACTGTGGTGCCTTGTCTGGGATAGGTCTGAACCACCTGTCAACTCTAAGATTTCACGAAAGGACTCAGCAGACTGATCCCCCTTTTGGAAACCACTGAGAGGTGGAAAGGTGAATTCTCCTCCTGCCCATGTGTTCCTGTGTTTCTTTCACTTCAGAAGCTGGTTAGCTTTGATGCTTAGATGCACATGCTCAGTCTTAGCCACGTGATTTTTTTATTAGGAAATTTTTTCATTCATTTTACACATCAATCAAAGATCCTGCCATGTGATTTTTTTTTTTTAATAGAAAAGAACACAAACTCTGGAATCCAGATTTTAGGGTGAGTTAGGAGTTCCCTCCAGCTTCTAATGGTGTAACAAAGCAATATAATCTAAGATGCCAGTGGGAATTACATATAGACTAAAGCCCAAGATGCTATTTGGTAAAGTTAGGTCTTCAAAATCCATTCACTTGAAGGTGAATATAAGGACTCAAATATTTCCAGAGGTCAGTTTTCAGTGAGTCTTTATGGAGTCCATATGCTCCTATATGGGTTACAGTATGTAATAAGGTGGTAGCAATAAATTAGCTTTATATTTTATTCGCTTATTTATTTATTTATTTTTAGTTTTGAGACAAGGTCTCACTATGTAGTTCTGGCTGACTTGAAACTTGCTGTGTAGACCAAGCTGGCCTCAAATTCACAGAAATCCACCTGCCCCTGCTTCCTGGGTACTATGGTTAAAGGCGTGTGCCATCACACTCAACTAATAAAGTAGTTTTAAAAAGATGAATTTTGTTGACAAATAATGTCTTAAGGTTTGCTTTAGTAGCTTACAACGTTGCAAACCTAACTACGTTTACATATGTTACTTTTGGGTGCATGATATTCCTAAGGAAGACCAAGTTTACTCATTTTCTAACTTCCTTTTCCTCCCATTCTACTTTCCTGTCTGGGACACCAAGTAGAGGAAAGTCTAGAGAGCACGTAGAGCAGTGGATTTCGTACAGTTGACATAAAACCCACAGCTCTCATCCTAAAGGGAACAGGAGATAGTTTCTTCTGGAGCCATTCTAAGTAACCTTGGCCCAGGAGCACAGATTTAGGTTACCCCAATTCAATTTTCCAAAGTGGAAGCAGTTTCTCGGAGTTTTTTTTTAAAATAGTTTTACAAAACAAAGAAAGTCATAAATCAAGGCAAGTTTAAAATGTGTTGATGGGTATACCAGAGAGGTGTGTGCAACAAGATAGACCTGTTCTATAGGCCTAAGATGCTATTTCATGACATTCTTAGCCCTGGGATTGGCAGAAGGCAGTGCTCTGCTAAGTTAATAGCTTCTAAGAAGTTTTTATTTATTATCGTAAGATACTAGTTCTAAGTTAGTAGTTTCTAAGAGATTTTTATTTATTATTACAGAATGTTAGTGCCAAGTTAATAGCTTTTAAGAGGTTTTTATTTATTATCACAAGATGTTATTTCGGATACAGAGTGGGGCAAGGAAGCCTAAAACTACCCCATGATAAAGCAATTAGCTTCTGAACCGGTAAAATTCTAATCTCTCCATAATACTGAAATTCCAATTGCTCCACCAGTCTCTGCAGACATACACACAACCAGACACAGCTTCTTTTCATGGATTGTCACCACAATACTCTTTGTTTAAATGAAAGAAACTTCGGAGAAAAAAAGTGTAGTGCAAGAAAGAGGTGCTAGGCCTGGCATGGATCTCTGCTGCCTGGGATGCTACTCCATCTGGCTTCTAGTCATTACTGTTAAGGAAACAGCCTGCCCAGAGAACAAAGGGACTTTACTCCAGGAAAATAACAAGGGCAGGAATAGTTATGACTGGAAGAAAAGTTCTCCTGAGCCCAGACCTCAAGGTTGGCCTCTCCATTATAAAACCCTATGAGAAGTAAAAACTAATAAACTGCACATCCAAACAAAAGTCCTGATGCTAAAGCAACTGTCAGTAAGAATTCATTCCCATTGCCAAACTTGGTGCTGCACATCCCAGCATTCTGGAGGTGAAGGCATGAGGATCAGGAGTTCAAATCTGGCCTTGGTGAAATAGCAAGTTTGGGACCAACTGGGATTACAGGAGACCCTGGCTCAAACACGCACAAAAAACATACAAACAAAAACGAAAGAAAAAGAAAAAAAATTCAGATCATTTGTGTACAATACTGTTCAAAATATACTTTCTTTTGGTAAAGGATGTGATTTTTTTTTTCAGTGTTTTTAGGGTACAGGTAAAATCATCCCAAAAGACTATGAACAGAGGGGTGAGGGCTGCGAGGAAGACTGTTATTCAAAGCAAGGCTGAGTGGGAGAAGCGAGTCCTGGAGACCGGGATCTCGGCTTGAACATGGGGCGACCCTGGCTGTCTCTAGTGCTATGCTTTGTCCTATAGGTAAAAGATTCAAAGAACCATCCGGGCAACTCTTAGGGAGACTGGCAGCGACCTCATTGGCATCACTGCGCAAGCTCGGAATCAGCCAATCCTAGACCACGCCTGGCAGCTTCCTTCCGGTGAGGGAGGGACTTCTGCTGATGTTTCTCTAGGGCGAGGATGGGCGTACAGGCTTTCGTCGCGGAGACGGTTCGCCGCTCTCTCTTAGGTAAGTACGAGAGACTTCGGTGGTCTTCCCCATTCCGCTTACCTTCCCCAGCCTTCATTTCTACAGCTCTTGACTGAAAAACAGCGGAAAAATTTCAGTCCTGTGTGGGTGAGTCTCAGTTTCGGAGGCCGCTAGATGGCAGTGTAAACGCGATATTGTAACCCTTCCTGCTCCACCCCGCCCTTTGTGCTTAAAAAAAAAAAAGGTTTTCTAAATTATGCTTCCTCTACCAGGTCCTTTTTTTTTTTTTTTTTTTTTTTTTTTTTGGACTTGCTTTTTGCTTGCCAGTGGAGGAATCTTTGCTGTTCAAATTGGCGCCTTTTTTTTTTTCTCTTGGCAGCCTAGACACCCACGCTACTTGTATTTTGGCTTCTCCAAAAGTCGTTCTCTTTAACTTGTCATATTTAAAGATCTTTGTAAGCATCCTTGTTCTTTCATTTAACCGTTTGTATTGAGTATTAATGATAACAGTTCTTACCCACTATCAGCCAGTGCTCACTATTTATAGTTTATGATAGCTGATTCAGGTTTTTTTTTTTCTTTTAATCCATATGGGTATATTTTAAACACGCAGAGATGAGTATTCGCGTTATTGCTTTTAACAACTTTAAAAATATCACATTGAACCCCTCTGACATGTATAATTACTATGTGTTATTTAAAGATTTGAAAAAGACACGAGGGGATAGAGAGACAGCTCAGCAGTTAAAAGCTAGTACTGCTCTTACAGAAGACCCTTTCCAGCACCTACCTTGGCTCTAGGGGATCAGACGCCTCTGGTCTCACTGAGCATCTGGACCCACATACACAGACAGACACATATAATTAAAAAGTGATAAAAATGAATCATTTTAAGACTTGAACATTTTTTCCAAATGTGACAAAATCATCTAATAACCAATTTCCCACTTATGTCAGTGGCATGCATCATAAAGTATTGTACCTAAGGGTTGTACCATAGTTGCTTTGCTTTCTGCTTGCTCACCATTATAGTACAGCTCACCATCATCAGAACAGTGGCTAGCTGTATATTCTCAACATTGGTATCTCTTGAACAAATGACCAAGTAAGTACCTGAGTTCTTCAGGGCACCATTTTCTTTTTCTTTTTTTCTTTTTGGTTTTTCGAGACAGGGTTTCTCTGTGTAGTTTTGGTGCCTGTCCTGGATCTTGCTCTGTAGGCCAGGTTGGTCTCAAACTCATAGAGATCCACCTGGCTCTGCCTCCCAAGTGCTGGGATTAAAGGTGTGCGCCACCACTGCCTGGCCAGGGTACCATTTTCTATACATACAACATGACTAAGTAGGAGCAGGCCTGGTGGTTCAGGCTTGGTGGTACAGGCCTGGTAGTACAGGCCTGTAATATAGCTACTGGGAAGCCTGAGGTAGGAAGGGTTGCAATTCAAAGTCTGCCTGTGCTACAGAATGAGTTGAAGGCCAGCTAGGACTATTTAGTGAGACTCTGTCCTGAAATTAAAAAAAAAAAAAAATCAGGAGAGCTGAAGATATTGCTCCATAGTAGGCTGCTTGCCTAGCATGTCTATTATCGTCCTTGTATTTAATGCAGCAAAGCATTTTACAAAGCAGGCAAGTGATTAGACAGTGATGGACCAGGTATGTTGGCAAATATTGGTACTCTTTACTCATCTTGATACCCTTGGTTACCATCTCTATACCTGTGTACCACAGTTTCCATAAACTAAGAGTGGTGGCAGAGCCTGCTTCAGGGGGTGGTCGCCCGCATAGGCCAACAGGTTTTTAGCCTGTGCCCTAGTAGTCATGGATACTGTTTTGATTTTGACTTTTTTTTCTTTGAGCAGGTTCTTTAGCCCAGAGTAGCGTTGAAATGGCTAGTCTAGCTGAGGATGACTTTAGTTCCTGATCCTCCTGTCTCCACATCCTCAAGTGCTATGATTAGGGGTGTAGTGTCAGGGGAATACATATCAGTATATTTCTTAAAGATAATTCCTCCAGAAAGTGAAAAGAATATTTTTGTACTGACATACTATTCCAACATCTCCCAATTATCCACAATTTGCATTTTTGGAAGTAGATTTATTAGTTCATTCACTCTTGGAAGAAAGTTTCAGTACTCATTCTATGAGGATTCTTGTTTACCATGCCTTTACTATGATTTATAATAGCAAATTATTATAAATATTATATATAATAAATTATTGTAAATATTATAAACTAACATTTAAATAGTAGCCATTATCTTGTATAATTATGTTAAATATTAATTTATTAGATATTTATTAAATTATTTTGACTTTAAAATATTGGATATTTATGCTTATATGTGACTAATAAAATTTAGTTTAGTAGCATTTAATTATTAAATATAAATATTATATATTAATAATAATTGTTATTGTTGTGGTACTGTGCATTTAACCTAGGACCTCATACATGCTATGCAAATGCTCTACCACTAAGCTATAGCCCAAACCCTAATTTTTAAAGGTAGTTATTTTATTGAATTTAATAATTGCAGGTATAGAAATTAGTTACCATCTGTCATCTGCATTGCAAATTCTTCTCTCTTTTTTTTTTAAATGTGAACTATGTCAATTTAAACAAGCTTTTTCCCCAGGTGGTAAGGTTGATTTAAAAAAAAATATAGGATGTTGCACAAATTTGGATGTCTTCTTATGCATAGGGACCATCCATGTGTTTCTGGATTACTCCGGTTTTAAGATAGGTGCTGCTGAAGTGAACGCTGAACTGTAAATCCTAGACTTTTTTAAACTTTGCAGTTACATTTGTCATTTTCAGATGTATAATTTTTTTTCTGTAACCAAATTTATTGATTTTTTGCCCCAATGCTGGGATAAATTCAGTGTTTAGACTTTGTAAGCAGAGCGCCACTGATCACTTAGCATTCACTCATGCCTTGTTTTCAAGGATTTAGTTTTTGGTAGAAAGCTGAAAACATCCCCTCTGATTTACTTCTCTTGTCACTTATTTTTGTCTTTTTTCTTCTTTTGAGTTTCTACTTACTCTGCCTAATCCTCCCACTAAAAAGAAAACCCACAGTAATTGTATAGGAATGCCCACCCATAAGTACTTGTAGAATTTTGAGAGGATGTTCCAATTAGATGTTCTTAAGTAATCTCCTTACTTTTGTCTTTCTCTTTCCCTTCTCCAAAGTGTCAGACCTGTCCAATTCTGGTTCAGTAACTCGCCCAAGCATGCACATTGTTTTTAGCTCCCTACCAGCAGAGGTGGTCACTGTGGAATAGGCCTCTTCCTCAGAATAGATGGAAGGGCCAAAGTAGCTGTTGGAGAGGCCTGTGGGGGATGATGATTGAGGGATGCTTTTGCTATTAAAGGGAGAGCTGAGAGGATATGCAGATGAGAGGAGTGACTTCATTAGTCAGTGTTGTTCTCCCATTCACCCAGGGATTCAGGGTTCCACCTGCTTTCTCTGTCCTTTGACAAGGTGACTTCTTTGCTTCTTCAAAAGAGAACCCTGACTAAAAGCAACTTAGGGAAGAAGGGACTTAATTGGTTAACAATTTTAGGTTACAGTTTATTATTGTAGGGAAGTCCAGGGAGGAAGTTAAAGCATCCACAGTCAAATACAGGGAGAACAAACATGGATCCTTACTTGCTTGCTCTGGCTAGGGAATGGTGCTGCTTACAGTGGGCTGGGTCTTCCCATGTCAGTTAACAGTCAAGACAATTTCCTATAGATGTGTTCACTCAACCTGATCTAGATAATCCCTCATTGAGAGTCTCTTCCCAGGTGATTGATTGTAGACTGTGGTAAGTTGACAGTTAAAACTAACCATCACAGTACTAGAAACTGAGTTTAAAGTTTTAATTTTCTTGTTTGTTACTAATATATAAAAGCTGTTGAGTATAACAAGTACTATGTAACTTGTTAAATCCACTTAAGTTCTAGTATTTTTTCTTAGATTTTAAAAAATTATTTGGTTTTCTTTTATGTGCATTGGTGTTTTCCTTACATGTCTGTCTGTCTGTCTGTCTGTCTGTGTGAGGGTATCGGATCCTCTGGAAGTAGAGATACAGAACTGCTGTTGTGTATCTGCTGTGTGGGTGCTGGGAATTGAACCCAGGTCTTCTTGAAGAGCAGCCAGTGCTCTTAACTGCTGAGCCATCTCTCCAGCCCCTTTCTTAGATTTTTCTATGTCAATAATCATGACATTTTAAATAGAGACTCATTTACTTCTTTACGAAGATTACATATCCAAGTATTTTAAAATGAGTACACTGAACATGCAAAGGCCTGGGTTCATCTCAAAAAACCAAACCCTATAGCATAAGTAAATACATAGCAGTAAAGAAGAGGGCTCTTTCCCCAGGATCATTCTGCAAACCATAGCTGTCTAACTCACCTGTTGGTATTTGGAATTTAGTGTTACTGGTGTTAGGGTCACAGCCTGGACCCTGACAGCCATAACAAGCTATGCTTTGTTACCTATCCTTAGTAGGCTAATGAAAGAGACAAGTAAATAGTGAAAAGCAGAGAAAAGACATTTAGTCTATGTGGGCACACTGGGAAGAGGGACAGCTCTGTTGACACCCTTCCTCCCAAGTCCATCTTGTGGGTGCTGGCATGAGATTTAGGTTTATAAAGAGGGCAAGAGGTATGTGTTAACTGCAGTCCTGGTTAAGAGGTGGTCTCACTTATCTTTGGCACATCATCAGCTTAGATTCCATCTCTCTTCCAGGGCAGTCTGTTGTCAGAACCATGTGAAATCCATCCCTGGGAGACAAGTTCCTCCTCTGGCTGGCATCAGGCCTTTCAGCCTTTACTTTGTTTGAGCATAAGATTCTTGAGTAAAGTCCGATTTCTGTGGGACTGACCGCACTCATGTGGACTTCTCCTTGCTCCAGAGCAGTGGTTCTTAACCCCTGGGTTTAAGTGACCCTTTCACAGGGGTTGCCCATCTGATATCCTGCATATCAGACAGATATTTACATTAGGATTCATAGCAGTAGCAAAATTGCAGTTATGAAGTAGCAATGAAAATAAATTTATGGTTGGGGGTCACCACAGCATGAGGAACTGTATTAAAGGTTTGCAGCATTAGGAAGGTTGAGAAGCACTGCTCTAGAGGAATTCCAATCCACCTTAGCTGTGGAGTTAGCGGTCTCACCATCATCATTGGTGTGCTTCAGCTGAATAAACTAAGTATAAATCAATTATTATTTTTCTCATTAATATTGTGGTACCTTGGCTTGGACAGGTTGAGCATCCCCTCGAAACTAAGATTTCAGACAAGCACAGAGAGCACAAGGTCTTGAGCACCACTGTGAAAAGGAAAGTTCAGCTATGTGGTCTGGTGTTCCTGTATCCTGCAGTTTGAAGGCTTTGATTCCTCCAAGTAAGTACTCAGTCTTAGCCATGTGATTTTATAATATCTAAGACCATCAATTCTAGAATCATGATTTTAGGGGAAATACAGAGTTCCTTCGATTCTTCAAAGTGGGAACCAAGGGTTGTTAGTTTTTAAAATGAGTAACTGGTTTTATTATGGCATTTTGTACTACTTTGTGTTGATCCTTGGCCCACTCCCTTCACCATTACCTTCCTCTTCCTGCTGGTCTCTGTCTTCACCCCAGCTAGCAGCCGTTCTGCTTTCAAAAAGAGTCTGTAACAAAACAACACAACTTCATATGCCAGTGCTAGTTAAGTATAGGGAAGGTATGATGTGCTATTTGGTAAAGTTTTGTCATGAAAATCTTACTACTTTGAAATAAAAACTCAAGTTTCTATAGTTTTTCGTGTCACTGATAGACCATGCCAGGCAGGAAGAAAGAATGAAAGGGCCCTCTGCAGCCATTGAGACACTGGGTTATCAATGTCAGCTTCCTTGGAGACAAATGGCATCTTCAGTTCCTGGCCTGAAGTACCAGGTCTCCCCCTGCAGGCTGCTCACTCCAGTTTTTCTCCTTTTTAAAACCGAGGGCAAACTGGCTTAGAGACAGACCGACAGACAGATGGGATGGAAAGGAAATTCTCTGGGGTCCAAGACCTGCCTTTCAGAAAACCATGTCTGCCTATGATAGTGCTTAAAATGGAAGCTTGTTTTGGTACAGTATGTGATTTTTTTCCTGTTATTCAGGGAATAGAGGTAAATAATTCAGAAAGAGTATGGTTTTCTTATCTCTGTCCAGGAGCTCAGGTACATCCAGAGCACCTGTCCATTATTGTCTGTGACAGAAAGGCAAAAGCTTTCTTGCCGCCTAGGGCATGCTAAAGGATGGGCATAGTAAGGAGAATCCAGAAGGCTTTTGAGGAGGAGAGTCCAGTGGCCGCCTGTTCTGTGTCCTTGGCTCTGTGGTGGGTAGTTAGTGTGAGGATTAAGAGAAAGTCGGTGAGTGCTCCTCCAGAGGAATGAGTTCCAAGGCTGGCTGGAGTGGGTGTAGTGTCCAAAGGACAGGTATCTGTTGGTGGGTAGTGCAGCTGTTCTGGAGATGAGCAGTCCCATCCATTAGTCTAGAGGCAGCTATGACGTTGGGAAGGTATGTCTTGGTGGGCCCCAAGAGGGAGAGTTGTGGAGATCTTACTGGCTATCTCCACAGAGACTCAGAGCCTGCTGGAGACCTCACTGACTGTTTCTGCACAGGCCCAGAGCCTGCTCATTCTTGGGTAGGGACAGCTGAGTTCTTCTGGGGAGGGGAATCAAGAACTTCCTGTTTCTTTGGTTCTGAGGGCCTCAGCAGAGAAGGCTTTCGTGCTGGGGGTCATTTTCTGGGTCCACCTGGCAAAATTAGACCGTTTTGGGAAAGGTTTCGGTCATCCTGCCATTTTCTTGCCACGTCATTTTCAGTGATTCCAGCTGAAAGCCAGTTTAAGGGAAGCATTTCTTCTTAAGCGTGCGAATTGGGTGTTTTGATCAGTAGGTGCCAGTACTGCTCTAGGATGTGAGCCTGCACATAGCTTCCCCTGCCCTTCGTGCTTGAAAAAAATGGATTTGGAAGGTTTGTCTGCTGGGATTATGGGATTGATTTGCTGAGTTCTGGAGGTTCCCTCCCAATAGTTCAGGGTCTGTGAATTTGGAATGCTTTGATTTTTAAGTTGCAGTTTCTCCTGTGGGGCATTCTAGGCACCCAGGCTTCTTAGTGTTTCTTCTCCTCTGAAAGGTCTGGTCAGTTTCTCTTACTGACCCTGGGGCTTATGGACTTTTTTGGGTACGTTTTTGTAATAAAGACTAAATTCAATTTTTGGTCTTAAAATTTCTGTAAAGTGTAATAAAAACAGTTCTTACCACAGTCTTATCACCCTGTGGTCATCATTATTTATATTTTATGATAATTGCCTTGTGGGTTTTATCCTACATAAAGGTACATTTTAAACATACTGTGATCCATATCTGCCTTGGTGTGTTTAACATCTTTTTACATACATCTGTGTCAACTCAAAAAACCACAGCTCTCCATCTTAAAGGAAATAAGAGATAGTTTATTTGGAGTCATTTGAATGACCATGGCCCAGGGACCCAGATTTAGGTTACTCCAAATTCCATGTTCCCACGTGGAAGCAGTTTCATGGAGTTTTATAGTTTTAGAGAATAAAGAAAGTCATGAATCAAGGCAAGTTTAAAATACATTGGAGGATACATCAAAGAGACAGGTACGCTGAGATGAGAGAAGTTTTCCTATAGGCCCAAGATGCTAGCTGACAGGCTTTTGGGTAGCTGGAAGCTAGTGCTCTGCTAAGTTAATAGATTCCAAAGGCTTCTGTGAGTCACAAGGTATTCCAACATAGAGGTGGGCAAGGAATGGCTATTCCTCCTTAGGGCTGGAACTAACCAAAAATAAGGTAAGTAGCCTCTGGACCTGCAACATCCCAATCTCTCCACAGTTCTCTAGCAATGAGTCTCTGCAGACACAGCTTCTTTGCAGTTTTCTTTCATACACACATATGCAGGATCATCACAGTAAACTTCATATATATGTTTTAAGCTAGGGGCTCAGTAAAGAAACCACAAGTTGGCTACTCCATGGTTAGTGGGGAAGGTTTGGTTATAGGTAAGAGTGACTAGCCAAAGGCATCTGGGGGAAATCTGCCATGGCTACCTCTCTTAGACAGAGATGAGCAGACTGGCAATTGCCAGGGCTCTGAGAGCAGAGGAGATAGCAAAACTGGTGGGAGAGGCCTGCCAGTTCTAAGGGGTTATATTGTTTGGGAGAACGGCACGTTAGCTGAGACAGCCTGCGAACCAGCTTGGGGCTCTGGTCTGTTGGAGGCTTGTTTGACTTAATGGAGAACTAGATGTCCTTTTCAGAGGTTGGGGAGCTGTAGGAGCAGATAAGAAAGCAGTGGATTTTCCTGGCAAGCACAAACTCACTTTACAAGGTTTCTGAAGATGCTGAGCCCAGACTGCCATTATTGGGGGTTGGGACCTGACACTTGTATTACCCAATCTCTTATTTAACATAAATCACCTTAACCAAATAATCATTTGAAAAGGTATGAATATTTTTCTACGTAAAACATTGCTCCAGCTGGGCGTGGTGGCGCACGCCTTTAATCCCAGCACTCAGAAGGCCGAGGCAGGGGATCTCTGAGTTTGAGGCCAGCCTGGTCTACAGAGCGAGTTCCAGGACAGCCAAGGCTGTTGTTACACAGGGAAACCCTGTCTCAGAAAACCAAAAGAAAAGACAACCCAAAAACAAAACATGATTCCTATTCTATTTGCTTTCTTTTTTGCTCACCATTGTTTTCCCAGAACTGTGCTCTCACAAAATATGTATATTTTCTTTAATATGTATATAAGTGACGATTTCTTCAGAGTAACTTTTAGAAGACTACATTTTAAAGATTTATTTTTAATTGTATGTGTGCATGCATGTGTGAGTGCATGTGTATGTGCACATGAGTGCAAGTGTCCACAGAGGTAAGAGGCATTTGATCCCCTGGGGTTGGAGTAACAGGCTGTTGTAAGCCACCAAACCTAGGTGCTATTAACTGAACTCGGGTCCTCTGAAAGAACATTACTTGCTCTTAACTGCTAAGTCATCATGCCAACTTTTTTTTTTGGTAATTTTGTTTATAAATATAAAATATTTCATAGTACTCTAGTATTTGAACACTTACCTAATGTGACTTTTCTTTCTACTTAACACCTTATTCTAAGCCATGAAGATGTTGTTATAATTAAACTAAATCTTTTGTGGCTAGAGAGATGACCCGGTGTTTAACAGCACTTGTTGCTTGCTCTTGAAGAGTATCCAGGTTCGAGTTCTAGTACCTGCATGGTGGCTCACAACCATCTATAATTCTAATCTCAGGGGATTCTCCCTTGCCTTCTTCTGACCTCCATGGGCACCAGACACACACATGGCACATAGAAATAGATTCAGGCAAAATGTTCACATACAAATGCATCTTTAAAAATGTAAAAGTAAAATTCTTCACCTATGTATTTAGCAACAGGAAAGCATTTTGTAAAGCCATAGATAGTGTAGAGTGGAAGAGATCAGGGGCATTGATGAACATGCCTTTTTTCCTTGCTGTGTCCTGAGACTCTTGATACTTGGCTCCATATCTATATGGCATCTTTCCCACAAAGAGAATTCATCAGTAGATGGTAGAAGGACCTGCTTTAGGAAGTGATGGTCTACATAGTAGCCTAACGGGCTCTTAGTGTATATCTTGCTAATGTTACATGGCATGCTATTGTTATTTCTCATATTTGTTAAAATGTGGAGTAGACACTTCTTAGAAAATTGAAACTGTGATAAAATGTACCTTAATAAAAAAGATAGCACACACCTTTAATCCCAGCACTCAGGAGGCAGAGAGGCAGGTGGATCTCTATGGGTTCAAGGCCAGCCTGGTCTACAGGGCTGTTATACAGAGAAACTCAGTCTCAAAAAAACCAGAGAGAGAGAGACAGACAGACAGACTGACTCAGACTTTTTTTTTTTTTTTTTTTTTTTGGTTTTTCGAGACAGGGTTTCTCTGTGTAGCTTTGTGCCTGTCCTGGATCTCGCTCTGTAGCCCAGACTGGCCTCGAACTCACAGAGATCCGCCTGGCTCTGCCTCCCGAGTGCTGGGATTAAAGGCGTGCATCACCACCGCCTGGCTTGAGACTCAGACTCTTATGCAGCTCAAGCTAACTGTAGCTGAGAATGATCTGATCTTCCTGTCTCCACTTCTTACGTGCTGGAATAACAGCTCTGAACCTCCATACTCAGTCCATATGTGGTTTGGAATCAAGCCTAGAGCTTTGTGTATGCCAGGTAAGCATCCTACCAACTGTGCTCGATGATCCTCAGCCCCAAATACACTCTCTAAATGTCACAGCTCATGTGTTACATACGTTGAGCTTTCTGCTTTCTAATACAAAGAGAAGTGTCATCTGTAGGGAAATCCATGAAAGAGATGTGAATCAGGAAAGCACGTTTATACGTTTCTCAAAGATGTCCTTTCTATAAAACAAATTTTGATGTATTGATTTGTACTGTATTGAATTGTTTGTAATATATTTCTTGAAGTAGACTTACTGTATTAAAAACCTAGACTCAGGCCGGGCGGTGGTGGCGCATGCCTCTAATCCCAGCACTCGGGAGGCAGAGGCAGGCGGATCTCTGTGAGTTCGAGGCCAGCCTGGTCTACACAGTGCACAGTGAGATCCAGGAAAGGCGCAAAACTACAGAGAAACCCTGTCTTGAAAAACCAAAAAAAAACCCAAAAACCTAGACTCTTTATACTTTGGGTGTATACTGAAGGAAAGGTAATACCCAGTATATACCCTCACTATCATTTATGAATTTTAAAATATCACGGTATTACATAATTAATAACTGCAAGTATAGACATGAATCCCAGGTGTCACAAATGTTGTGACTACTTTCCTTGAGATTTGCTCTTTAATTGTGCTTCTGGTTTGAGGATGAATATACAATTTTATTTTTCTGTAGCTAAGTCCATGACAGTTTCTGCTGCCCATGAAACCCAGTCCATGGAGAATGTTAAGTGAGCATTTTATCATTGAGACATACCCACAACACTGTCCCTTTTTTGCAAGGCTTCATACTGAAAATGTCATCCTGATCTGACCTTTTCTGTCACTAGATTTTCCCCCTATTTTTCCTTTCTGTTTCTCACTGTAGTGATAAAGTCTCCCAGAACTACCGAGAAAGACTCCAAACAGAATTCACACTTGTGATTTCTCTAACTCCCAGCTGTTAGCATTTAGGCATCTGTGCTGGCCTGCCCTTAGGGTCCTGACAGGATAGACCTCAGCTGCAGCCACTAAGAGCACCCCCTGTGCACATTTGCTACATTTCCTTACAAAAGGCGGGCCTTGCCCACCTCCAGTCCCTTTCTCTTTCCCTTCCTTGTCCCCATGGATCGATCCCTGCCCCCTTCTCTCCCTTCCATTCAATAAACCTCCTATGTGGGCCCTGTTGTATGGTGTGACTCCTTCCTGTGCCGTTTTTAAAATACAACGTTGGTTCCCTGACCAGGAAGGCTCTCCCAGCAGTCTGAAACATGCTGGGACCCTGGAACCTGGTCTGCCCGCCAGAGCCCTACTTTCCCACCTAATGGATCGCTGGGACTCTCCATCTAACACTGACGATTGGTAAGCTACCCCTTCTCCACCTCTGGCCATTTCCCACGAATGAGGCGTTATTTCTCCAGCACAGTCCCCACCTTCTGGTTTTTCTCCAAGTCCTGGTACCAGGCGACTGTGTCTCACTCGGGCTCCTAGTCCATCGGCCTCTGCTTTTTTGGATGAGGGTCCACTGAGCAGCTTGTGCCTTCTTGTGGGTCCTCGCTGAATCTCGTAGAGATTCCAGCCCTTGGACCTTTCCTACCTCACTCATGGAAAATGTGCCTACCACCATAAGGGCTTAACTTACCTGCCTTTGTAGTCAGACTGGGTAAATGACCGCTTACCAGCACTCCATATCCTGCCTGGTATTTTACAGGACCTTTGCAACGTCTGCCGGTGATCCGATAGATGGAAGGGGGTACCCTGCTTTCAAGCTTTCTCTTGTTCAGTCCCTACTCCAATGCACCTTTTCACTCTTTCACTCTTTTGCGCTCCCCCTCCCTCACACCTGCAACAGATCTGCTTTCTGATCCGCTCTCTTCCACCTGCAACAAATCTGCTTTCTCACTCACCAACAGCTTTGCCTCCCATTCACAACAGCTTTGCCTCCCATTCACAACAGCTTTGCCTCCCATTCAATAGCAACAGTTGGGTCTCTGGTGGGGCCACCCGCCTCTGACCATTCCCCTAGACGTGAGGCTTCATTTCCTGAGCACAGTCCTCCTCTTGCCTTCTGGCTTTTCTCGAAGTCCTGGCACCAGGCGACTGTGTCTCTCTCGGGCTCTTAGCCCTCAGCTCCTGTTCTTGCATGACAGCGTACTGAACAGCTTGTGCCCACTTAATCTGATCCTCCCTGGATCCCTGGGATGCCAGAACATTCAGGGTTTTGGACCTTCTCTGTGCCTCATCCTTGGGAACTGTGTCATACACCTGCTCCCTCCCATTGGATGTCTTTTGGAGACCCACTGACCATTCTTTGGACCAGGCAGTTGGAGAACTGAGAAAGAATTCTCCACTTTCTTCCCCCTTTTTTGCTCCAAGACCTGCTTGTGTCTGTCTGCTCTCCCGCTCTAAATGTTCTGTTTGCTGCAACGTGTGAATCAGAGATGGAGAAGCCAGCTTCGTCTTGCACAGCACACACCGGTTCTCCCTTTCTGTTTACTCAACTCCTGTTTAATTCTGTGTGTATGTTCATGTAACTATTAACAGCAACCACGTGGCTCTCCTCCATCTTGGCTGTGATCTCATCATGATTTCTTGTGAGCTCCAGGGAGTCGACTTGGATCCACCTCAAACAGCATCTTTCCAGGTCCAAGTGGTGCTGGACGATTCCACAGACCTGGACAGTGAAGTGAAACAGCCAGCCACCCCAGGACATGGTCAGCATCCCAGCTCTCTCAGGTCCCCAGAGATGATCTACCTCCCCCAGGCCAGCAGGAAGCAGTCTCGAGAACATGGCATCCTTATTCCCGCCTCACCTGCTACCCCGTTCTAACTCCTCACTTTTTATAATAAACAAAGGGGAGGAATGTTAGCATTTAGGCATCTGTGCTGGCCTGCCCTTAGGGTCCTGACCGGATAGACCTCAGCTGCAGCCACTAAGAGCACCCCCTGTGCGCATTTGCTACATTTCCTTATAAAAGGCCGGCCTTGCCCACTTCCTGTCTTTTTTCTCTTTCTTTTCCTTGTCTCCAAGGATCAGTCCTTGCCCCCTTCTCTGCCCATTCTCTGCCCCTTCTTTCCCCGCTTCCCCTCAATAAACCTCCCACATGGGCCTGTTGTATGGTGTGACTCCTTCCTGCTGTTTTTAAAATACAACATTGGTGTGAACAGCAGTTGAACCTGGGTCAGTCGATCCTGAGAGATGGGGGCTCCAGTCTCTTGTAACTGCTTCCAGATGACTTGGTGGGCGTTGGTTAATTTCTTGGGGTTTGGGAGAGGGGCTTTTCTTGAAGTAGTGGGACATTCTGAGGTAGCTGATTGTCTTCCTGCTGTTTGGAGCCCTGTGGAATCATCTAGCGCTGCTTTGATCTGACAGCTTGGACCCCACACGCTGAAGTGGATCTGACCTTTCTGGGTGGATTCAAGCCAACTCCCTGGAGCTCAGAAGAATTTTTAAGTTCACGAAGGAGACAAATTTTAGACATAAGAAGCAACTGAAGAGAATTTCAAATCCTTAGCTGGTAGCTATGATACTATGGTGTTTAGTACTCTGCTATCAGAATTTTATTGGTTAGTGCTAAAGTTACGGAGTCATATAGCGAAAGAAGGAGAGGGAGAGGTGCACGCTACCTCTGGTGGGTGAGAGAGAGATGGAGAGGGAGAGGAGTGGGTAGAGCCTGCTTTTATAGGTCACCTTGCACATGCGTATGTGGGCTCACGTAGCTACTTATGCATGCGCATAGATTACGTGATCACGATCCTGATAAGTTTTAGGCCTCCTGAAGGCCTCTCCACCTTGCAACAAACCGAATCAGACCAAATTGGAAAGCCCAGGTTTAATGGGTGAAGCGTTCCCAGGTGATTCCCCAGCCCCGCAGAGAGAAGAAAGAGGAAGAGACTGGAAGAACCACAGAGTATGTTTTCTGGGATGCCACTTATGTATCCCCTGTGGGAGCTCCTGAGCCTCTCTGGGGGAGGAGCTATGTCTGGTGGGCTTTGAAGGGGCAGGATTCGGGAGGAGCTGTGTGAGGTGGAGCTCCCACCCAAACATTCCAGACTCTTTGGGTATAGGGACACTGGTTCAAGTCTGACTACTTCCTACAGGCATGGGGCAACGTGGGGAAGAGGAGTCGGGAATTGGTGAGCTCACATTCAGCAGGAGGTGTGAGTGGAGGAACATCTGGTTAATTGTCATCCTGGGGACCTCAGGCATCTGTTTCTGAGTTCAATGAAGAGCTTGATGAGTCCATTGGCCTTCTCAACCTCCTGGCTGGTGTCCTTGAAGCTGGTGCAGAGGCTGACATATCTGGAGGGCCTCCTGTGAATGGACCTGTGAAATACTCAGTAGAGTGTGGGGGTCAAGGTGAGTATGGCCCCAAAAAGGCTGAGAACATTACAACCAAGCAGAGGTGCAGGGCAAGCAAGTATGACCAGAAAAAGAGTGTGAGAAGAATCGCCCTGCAAGAATGCAGGGAAATGTCAGGGTCTTCAGTGGGAAGGAAGGGATCCCGTCCACCCCCATGACAGAAATTGGTGAGGGAACTGTAGGACCTAAGTGAGATGTCAAAACAGAATAGGTAGCTCCCGTGTCCAAAAGAAAGTCAATGGACTTACCCGTTACCTGCAGCGTCACCCTAGGCTTGGAGAGGGCAATGGGAGTCAGCAGGTCTAGGCCATGTCAGTTCTCCGCCAGGCTTACGAGTTCTCAGTTGCCAGAGTTGGTGAGGCTGGACCTCCATGGCATGGCATAGAGGATGAGCCTGCACAGGGGCATTCCGTTTTCCAGTGCCCAGGCTGTTGGCAGACAGGGCATGGCCTCCCGGGTGACTGGGGGTCAGGGCAATACCTTGACCAGTGGTCCTGCTTTCTGCATTTGAAGCAAGTTTTTGGTGGAGTTGACTTGGGCTGAGCGCCGGCAGGATGGAGCCTTGTGGCCGACTTCCCTTGTACCCCTTTCGGGCGCCCTGGTGACCTCAGAGCAGCTGCTAAGGCTTGGGCTTGGAGCGTATTCTGTTGCAGCCTTGTCTGTTGGGTTGACTTGGCTGTCATTCTCAAGCATCAAAAACTTCAGGAGCCATTTCCACCAATTCCTGTAGGGGAATTTGGGGATCCTCCTCAGCCTTTGAAATTTTTTTTTTGTGTGTGTAATTTCTGGTGCTGACTGAGAAATGAAATGGGTGGGAAGGCAGGAGTCTGGTGAGATCAAGTATGAGAAGAACCTGGGGAAGATTTGAGGACATTAGGCCAGTGTGTAGGTTGAGCATTGGGAGATAGGGGGAAGCAGTGTGGGGGGGAGGACAAAAAGGAGGAGGAGGAGGAGGAATTTGGTCTTAGATTCATGGCCGGGAGGACGGGGTTGGGTAGGTAGAGTTTGGGGGAAGTGGGGGAGGGGTCAGTGTCTCCAGCAGTGAATAGGTCAGTGATATAAGACACTGTAGGGAGGGTGGGAACACAGAACCCAAAAACCATGGACATAGGGCAGTTCTGTAGCCCAGTTTGAATAAATTTTGTAAAAGACCCAGCAGGGTGTTTGGGGATCAGGCTTTGAATGGCAAGTGCCCTTTCTCAAGTCTATACCAGGGAAGGAAGCCTAACACAATGCATCCACTGTGGTAAGTCTTGGGTCAAAAAAACTCAGGGGTGTGTGTGAAATTCCCTTCAACAGAACATCTTCTGGAGAAGGGGTCCCATGAAACAAAGGCAGCCCTTTGCTCTGGAACTGGTCGGGTGAGGTGAAGGCAGCCCTCCGCAATGGAACAGGTTGGATGGAGTGGAGGCAGCCCTCTGCAGCACCAGAACGGGTCGGGGTAGAGCGGAGGCACCCCGCCACAGCACCAGAAAGGGTCTGGTGGAGCGCAGGCATCCATCTGTACCGGAAAGGGTCAGGTAGAGCCAAGGCAGCCCTCCGCACCGGAAAGGGTTGGGTGGAGTGGAGGCAGCCCTCTGCACCGGAAAGAGTTGGGGGCCTGGCATGGCCACATCTCTGGCAAGACACCCCGAAAACAAAGAGGCCCTGAGCCTCCTAGGCAAGGACTTGAAAGGGGCAACTTAACCAACCAAGAGCCGATCTAAGTCTGGCAGAGAGCAGGTGTGGGGGAGAGTTCTGTTTTTCCACCAAGTGGCCCTGGGCCAGTGGGGAAAAATCAACCTCCCCCTTGGTGGAACCTCCAAATGATAAGTTTTAGGCCTGTGGAAGGCCTCTCCACCTTTGCAAAAAACCAAATCAGACCGAGTTGGAAAGCCCAGGTTTAATGGGTGAAGCGTTCCCTGGTGATTCACTGGCCCTGCAGAGAGGAGAAAGGGACAAGACTGGAAGAACCATGAGTCCGCTTATATATCCCCTGTGGGTGTCGTCCTTAGCCTCA